GGGGGCTCCAGCCATATCGAACATTTGTTTCATGTCTAAAAATCAAAAATAAATGTTGCTCTGCGTTGAATCTGGGTCATGGCCGCAGTCACGGTTGTGTTTTTCTCTGCACTCTTCCCTGCGTTTTAGATGCTTCATAATTTAACATGAAGGGCAGCGTGCCCTCGCCTGTCCACTCCGCCTCCCAATGAAGCAGAGAAGCCTCAGCACTTGGAGGCCCCTGTGGCCACAGCCACGCGGAGGACATCTCCGAGGGGCCCTCCTGATCCAGGAGGCGGGCACGGAGGAGCCCGCCCCTGAGAGCTGCCACATGGTCTCCAAGGCCGGGCCCCCCAGAGTACCACCTCACACGGGCTCCCCAAATGAACCTTCACAGCAACTCCCTGAAGAAGACGCCATTATAATTCCCATTTTGCAGATGGGGACAAGGAGGCGCTGGCGGTTACCTTACCCAACCAGGAAGAGGGAGAGCCGGGATCCCCCCAGGCAAGCGGGGTCCCGAGGCGGGCTTAACTGCGTTTACCCCTCTGCCTAACATCCTAGAAACGCCGTCCCAATCAAGCCCAGGTGATTGTGTGCTGGGCTGTGGGGGCTGGCACTTCCTTTCCAGAATAGGTACCACCCTCCCCAAACCCACTGCCCTTGTGTCTTGTTTCTACAAACTTCCAGCACTCCTGGATGAGCCAAAGGAAGAGGCAATAAGAGGTGAATCACCACACCATCGGGGCCCCGGATGGAGTCCTGGAGTTGGCTCCACAACCACCCTTGACATGGGCCCAGGTGGCTCCACGCCGTGAGCCCCAGGCCACCTGCACTCAGGTTATGTCGCATGCAGACATGGGTAAGGAGGAATCTCAGACCGCTTCTCTGAGCCTGGGCAGAGGCCACTAGCCGAGACCTGCACTGGGAGCTTCTGCGGCTGCAGCCTCTGCCCTGTGCAGATGAAGCACCCCGGGATCTGCCCAAGGGGAAGGGCTCCCGGGGTCAAGGCTCGGCTGCATGCTGGATGTTGGGTGGGCAGCAGGGATGAGAAGCTGGCGGGGAACAACATGAAACAAGACCCTCAGCTTGGGGAGTAGCTCAGGACACCTGCACAAGCTCAGAATGAAACGTGCAAGGCAGAAGCAGTCCCAATCTCCCCGGACCTCAGTCTTCCTCCTCTGGGAAATGGGGGTGGCACTGCCTGCCTCACCGAGTGTGTAAGGACTGAACAAGCTGGGGCCTGTAAAATGCCCAAGAACTCGGTGAACGTGGTTGGTAGCAATATTTCTAGATGTCACCATTACTGAGTCAAGAGAGGCTGCACTGGGCTCTCAACCAATTGCTGCCACTAACGTCAGTGTGGCGAGCCCCTGCCTTCCCCGGACTCGGTGTTCCCATCTGTGCAAGGGGTGGGTAGACAGCCTGGAGCCAGAGAAGCTGACATTCCCACCCAGAACCTGCCCTGAGGCCACGAGCCCTTTCCCCTTTCCTGGGCCGGCCAGGATCCCCGGGAAGCTGCTGCTCCTGGAGCCCCCGGAGCCCCTGTTCCTCTACCCCACCCCGCAGAACATCCCAGCTGGAAACAGATGCTCTTGTTGCATGGGGTGCATCTGCAGGGCAGCTCCTAGAGAGCTGGGTCCCAGAGCACGACTTTCGTTGTTCAGGAGAAAACAGAGGCAGCCCTGAGGGCCTGGGAGGAATGTCACAGGTCCCGGTCCTGGGGCCACTGCCCCGCAGACAGCCCAACAGCTGGCCCAGATTGGCGAAGCTCAGAGAGCCCAGCGAGGCAGGATTCCTGCAGCAGAGACTTCCAGATGCCAAGCCCGAGCTCATGCTGCCAGAAATTCTGCAGCAGAGGCAGGATTTGAACTCTGGGCTTGGGACGCTCAAGCCCAGCTCTCTCCCCTTTGGAAGGAAAGAATGCCACACACAGTCTCGGGGCCAGATGGCCCAGGACGACTACCTGCCTGACCACTTAGGAACCGTGTGCCAAGGACGAGTCATGGTCTCCCTGTGCCTCAGTTTCCTTATTTGTAAAAAGAATTGTTCCGTTTGTAAAAAAATTATTTTATTTGTAAAAAAAATAATAGTGGCACCTCCATCCTAGGGTTATGGTGAGGACTGTGGAGCTGGTAAAGTAAGGTGCATGTGACAGCGCCTGGACCCTGGGGCCAGACAGATGTCGGCTGTCACACGGTTGTGCCGTGAGGATTATTACCCACACGGCCCCCCGCCCCCACACGCCAGTCAATCTCGGATCTCCTCCGTGAGACCCGATTTCAACAATACAGCCTGGGTCTAAAGGCTTCTGGATGTCAGAAGTGTTTGCAATTGCCGTGACACATCTAGAAATAAATCATTTACAGAAGGAATCTTTTTTATTGCCTTTCATTCTTCCAGATATTGCACAGGCCACTTGAGAAGGAAAAGCAGCCGGCGGGTGTCAGCAAATAATTCCAGGAGTTATAAATAGTCTGGATGCCTGAGCAGGAAGGGCTGGGTGAGAAGTGTATCCCAGCCCTGCGTCCCACAGGGGACGCCCTGGGCCGAGAGCTGAGGGCCAGGGTCACCTACCACCAGCGGGCTGAGCCCGAATGCAACACTTTTCCCAGACCCCCGCTCATGGCTCCCGTCGCTGCAGCCCCCAGCTAGGAGCAGAGGCGGGAGCAGCACTCATAGAAGAAAAACGGTAAATAAGTGGGGTTTTCTGAAGCGCAGGAGTAGGAAGGGCACAGGGAAGTCACTGCGGGACTCATCCCTCGGGAATTCGGGTGTGCGGTGAGTGTGATGGGAGTGGAGACAACATTCTCCGAAGTTCTGGGCTTGTGAGAGGAGCCGTCACAGGGTGCTTCTCTCCTCTTTTTCGTGGAAGGATAAAGCGTTTTTCTTTACAGGCAAACTTTCTTTCCCCGCCCATAATTGGTTTGTCTTCGTGGAGAAATGGGTCCCCCCATCAATAAACAGATAAGCTTGGGAGCTCCTGAGACCCCTAGATCCTGTGTCACACGGCAAGGAGGGGCCAGTCTTAATTAAGCAAATAACTGCAGAGCGTACAACGTCAAGGGCGTGAAGGTGGGTGCAAAGCCCTGCCTTTCAGGGGCCAGCTCCCGGCTGGGAAACGTTTCCCTGTCCCATTACACTCAGTTCATTTGGAACCACTCAGGGTCAACCCCGTCCTGCCCACATCTCCTGGTGTCTGCGCCTCGTGGGGGGCTGGGTCTTGGCCCCCCGCTGGTCAGGCTGGAGGAGCTAGTGTGGAAGTCTCCATTAGGCAGAGACACAGAGAGGTCTTGGTCAGAGCAGTCTTCACGTGGAGCCCAGGTGGGTCTGCACAGGATGGCTTCACCCCATGCGACAGTCGTTTCTCAGAGACGTGGACAGAATAGGGAGGGCAATGTGGAGGGGGCATTTGGGGCAGGGCAGGAGTGTGGGTGAGTATGTGGGCTGTTCAGAGCCCGGACCCTGGATATTGGTTCAAATCTATGCTCCCCTACTTGTAGCTGTGTGGCCTTTGGGCCAGTGACTTCACCCCTCTTTGGTTTGATTTCTTCTCTGAAAATGGAGTTGACAGTGGCACGCAGCTGCTAAGGTGGTTGTGGGTGTCACCCACACGGTTCACATAGCAAGTGCTTGATAAAGGTAGCAGCCACCACTATGGAGGCCCGCCCTGGCCTCTTAGCAAGATGTCCCAACATCTAAACGGGGTTTTAGACAGCCCATTAGAGGGCTCATTGTGACTGCAGTTGGGGAAGGCAGACAGAAGGTGGTGGGAGTCTGTGGCAGGCACCTGGCATCTGCACAGAGGCCCGTGTCCTAGCCATGGCCCGGCAGTCTGGGGAAACAATCAGGGAGAGCCAGGACTCCAAGAGAACCATGGAGTTAGGGTGGGATTTATAGCATCCCTGAGTATCAGGGGTCCCCAGGACCCAAGGTGGGGGGATCAGTCAGAGGCACTGGAACGATCGCCCTATTGAGGGGGGACCTGGGCCCTCCCAGAACTGCCAATGCTGGAGCCGACAGCAAAGGCTTCCGGAACGGAGAGGTGCCACCCCCATCCCCAAACCAGGGCTGGTTCGCAGATCCACCCCCACCCTCTACCCCAAAACAGCCCTCCTCCGTGGCCGTGGTGGCTTCTGACAGTGCACAGCCCAGCTTTTTGTTTCAAGACGTCCAGAAACAGCCCCTGGCTGCCCGCAGGGTGCAGAGAACTCTGGTTATTTGGATGTAAGTGGATCTGGGACACACAGAGTTCAGAGCCTTGAAGACAGTCTCTGTTTAGGGCAGAGCAGGCCCTGCAGAAGAAGTCTCAAGCGGCATGTCCCACGGGACTTCTGAAGCTCAGGGGGCACACACCGCACCCTCGCTCAGATGGGTCTTCTCATTGCCACATACATAGAGACATGCACATGCAAGCAGGCAGGCGATGCACAAACAAGTGTGCACACACAGGGGAATCTACACAGAGACCCAGGCGCACACAGGCTTACAGCCACACACCCAGCCCAGACTCCCAGAACAGACCCTGGGAAGCATCTGGGTGAGGTTGTTTGGCCCTGAACCAGCAAAATGAATTCTCACCTGCCCCTCTTTGAAAATGCCAGAGCTCGCAGTGTGTGTGAGGGCACATGCCTTCCTTGATTAGAGGAGAAAATGTTGGGCTTCCTTGGAAGAGCCAGAGCCAGGTCTGAACATCTTCCCAAATCAGAGCTTGGTGCAGGAAGTTTCACTCATCTATCCAACCATCCAAAATCTACCACCTTCCCATCCGTCCATCCATCCACACACCCACACACTCATCCATCCACACACCCATCCATCCACTCATCCATCCATCGGTTCACCCATCCATTCATCCGTCTATTCATCCATCCACCCCGCCATCCACCCATCCGTCCATCCACCCACCCATCCACCCATCCATCCATTCATTCATCCATCTACCCACTCACCTACCCACCCATCCATCCACCCAGTTCAACAATCTAATTTGTTGCAATGGGGAAGACAATCAACTCAACAAATATTTCAGTGACCCCTCACTCTGGGGTGGGCCCTGGAACTGAAGTCATTAACGAGACCAAGATCCCTTACCCAAGCCCTCAGACGTCACCCAGCCTCTTTGTTTCCCCTTCACTTAAATATTCCGGAGCCTGGAGAAGGACAGGCTGCAGTTTCATTAGGTCTGCTGATTTCGGCATCTGCGAAATTCAACAAGAGTCGATAAAGAAATGGGATTCCTTTCACATAAATATGATTTACACGTCTCAGGGACCCCATCTGTGCTGCAAAACTCCTTCTTCACCCAGGTTGTAGGATGGGGCGCACGTGCAGCCCCTATTCCCAGAGGAGAAACATTTTTATAACTTCCGGAAATGAGACGGAGCTGTCAAAAGCTCATGAACTCAGCTAGTAAATTGTGAAACATAAGTCTCAGTTCTGTTCGGTGCCACAGAAAACATGACAGCTGTTATCAATTAGGGTGGTTTCTGCCTCAAGTCACGGCTGACTCCAATTCAGACGGGTTTCCTGCCGGTTAGCCAGGAGCAGGGAGGGCTGTGGGGGGCAACGTGAGTGCCTTGGGAGCTGGGGTCCTGGAAGACCCTCACTCTCCTGCCCTCAGAGCTGGTGGCAAGATGGCAGCAGTCATTCTGGTTCACACTCAGGCCCAACAATGCCCAAGGAAGAAGAGGAAGCATCTCTTCTTAGGGTACTGTGGGAGGTGGGGGTGGGGGGTGGGAATTTCCCAGAGGCCCCCAGCAGAACTGGGTCACGTGACTGTCCAGAACCAATCACATACTGGTAGGATGTTGGGATTGGGATGACTCGCTTCATGGAGGGAAGAATGAGTTTAGGGTCACCATTACAGATAGTTCGGAGAAATCTATTGCTACCCCATCCCAATGATCTGTGTGCTACACTCCACATTTTAATTGCCCCATGTGGTTTTCATTTTGTCCAGCACCCCTCCCCATCTTTCAATAACAAAGCCCTTTCTTTTCTTATAGGAGAAGCATTCAATGTGCCTTGAGGGGGCTGATCCCTGGCAGCCACAGAACAATGTCCACGACCCAGGCCCAGCCTTTCAAACTTCCTGGAAATTTTCTATATGGACCCTTGGGAGGTGTCTCCTCTTTAGCTGTGATCATAAACTGTAACAAAAACACAGCTTTCAGGCCTTCTTGTCTCCTCTGTGCAGAAAGCCAAGACAGAGGCAAGCAAGGGGATGGAAAAAGGGAGAAACTGAGGCCCAGTGACACAGGTTGAGCTCCTGGATTCAGCTGTTCCTGAAGCCAGAGCTGCACATGGGCTTCCCAGTTTTGGAAGCCATTCTTTGTTTAAACTAGTCTGAGTTGTTTACAATAGTCTGTCTGATACACTGTGGCTATGCTTACCCAGTCAATAAACATTTGTTGAGTGCCTGTTGTATGCCAAGGTCCATGCTAGGCACTGAAACAGAGAAATGAGTGAGACCCACTTTGCCCCGTGCAAACAATTACATCCGTTTCCTCTCTCAAGTGGGGAAGCTAATAGCTCTGGCATCTGCTCTGTGCCAACAATTATTCTGACACTTTTCATACATTTTTCTCAGTTATTTCTTACAGTGCCGCCGCTGGACAGCCCCAGCCCCTTGGAGCCTGCGGTCCAGCGGGCTGGAACGGCAGACGTGTAGACCAGCAGCGGGAAAGCCTCACCATTGTAAGCAGCAATCACACCATCTCTGCAGGGTGGCCAGTGGGAAGGTCTCAGATGAGAGACCAGTGTTGACGGACGGCCAGGAGGTGCCCACGCTGTCAGAGAAGTGAGCATCTAAAGAAGGCAAAGAAAAAGCGGAACCGAACGTGGAAATTAGTGTCAAAGGAAGAATTAAGCTGCATAAAACCCACGATCAATATACAAAATTACAAAAGCGGCTGGTCTCCTCTACACACATCGATGCCTGCGTGTGAAGCTCGCACTGTTGTTAGTGTCGTCCAGCCGATTCCCACTCCTGGCGAGCAGAGCCCTGCCCAGTCTTTTTGTGCCATCCAGCACTGTATCAGACAATGCTCCACTGCCATTCATAGCGTTTTCATGGCCAGTTTTTTCGAAAGTGGGTGGCCAGGTCCTTCTTCCTAGCCTGTCTTGACCTGAAAGCACCACTGACCCGCCCACCACGGGGGACCCTGCTGGCACCTGAAATCCTGGTGGCGTAACTTTCAGCATCACAGCCACATGCAGCCACCACAGAATGACAACCAACAGACGGGTGGGGTGGTCCCCTGAGCGGGAGATGAACCCCGGCCGCGGTGGTGAGAGCACTGAGCCTTAGCCACTACACCACCATGGCTGCCGAGGCGCACCCGTACAGAGAATAAAGATCGAAAGGAGGCACGCTAAAGCATCAACTGCGCTTCTCTCCGGTGGCTGGAACGGCAGACCATCCTTATGTCTTTTTTTATACTGTTTGTATGTCCCAAATTTTCAATGGTAGAACGAGTTATTTTTAAAAATAAATAAACAAAGCAGCACAGGGCCCATCTTGGGCAACTCCTGAGACCCTCTCGGGTCACTTCTTGTTCTGGCCACAGCTGTGGTCATGAGCCCCCAGGCCTCAGCTCTCCTGCATTGGGGCCACCTGAAGGTGCCTTACCTCGGGAGCCCCCCAGCCTCTCTTCCTGCCCGCCCCGCCCCCCCCCCCCGGCCTTCCTCCCGGGAAACCCACTCGGCATCATGTGTGTCAACCCAGAGTGCTAGGCAGTTCGCACCCTGTGGGTGACCTCTGACCCCTGCAGCACTTGCTCCCCCTTCCTTGGAGACACATGATCCTAAGACCTCGCCACAGCTTCCCAGAGGACTCCATGGGCCTGAGCAGCTGGCACCTGCAGGCAGTGTCCCCACCTCCCGTTTCACCCCCAACCCCACTCACAGCCCTGGGCCACTTCCCAAAGGAATCCGTGACCCCAAGCTCTGTCTCAGCCTCGGCCTTGGGGGCTCTGCCCAGGCACGGACCCCACAACCTGGTCCTATGCGGTGTCACCAAAGCTTCTCTGCCAGGCTTGCCCCACCCATCCCTGGCCCCTGGAAGGAGCCCTGAGCATTTCTCCCCTTCAGCTGCAGGCATTCATTCAGCAGAGAAGGGGCGTCCCCACCCTCCTGGCAAGTCGTCTTGCGTCTGCAGTTGGCTGTTCTGCCCCAACCTACGCCAAGCTGGGGGGGACAGGTGAACGAGGCCCCTGGATGAACCGGCCAACTCCACCCAAAGGGAAGCGTCAGTTGATCCATCAAAGAGGGTGGGAACATCCAGAGCACAGGCCTGGGGGCGGAGGGCTGCGCCGGGCCTGCCTCGGCCCATTGGCGCCATTCTGGGACCGCTGGCCTGGGGCCTTCAGGTGAGGGAAGGTGAAGGGGGAGACGAGGTGACAGCCCTCAGACCTGGGCCAGGGCAGGGGCTGCAGCATCCTGACGAAGAGCTAGGGCGTTTTCTTACAGGTAGCAGGAGCTCCAGACAGGCCTGGAGGAGCTGGAGGCAGGAGGCAGGGGTGCCGGTGGAGTTGGAAGAATCCAGAGGATTCTCCAGATGGGGGCCAGGTGCTGGGCTCAGTGCTGTGGCAGCTTTAGGTCACGGGGATCTGCGTTTTCCAAGAACGCCGATGCCATAAACACTCTCGCTGCTAAAACTGTTGTCCACGCGTCGTCGAATGGTCCCCTGCGACGCCAAAGGCCCGGGGGGCTCACGTGGGGCCTCGGGGCCACAATGAAAACCACAGTCCCCTCCAGCGAGCTGCCCGGGACACACGCGTGGTGACGGGCTTCGTCGGGTGTGCCGGTTGCTTAGGCTCAGATGAATGCTCACGGCTCAGAGGGGGCGCACACAGGGTAGGGATGCAGCGGAGCTGCCCGGGGTGTGGTTGCAGCCTTGCCAGGTGCGGCAGGGGGCAAGCCAGGCCACTGCTGAGTCAGCGCTGGGCTGGGGCTCCTGTGCCTTCCCGCCCCTGTGGATGTGCAACCTGGGGTCACCCCACCCACCCCAGGCTTAGCTGCCTCTACTGTAAAAGGGGGACAACGATCCCAATAAAAGTCTCTGTGCTTAGAGATGGGGACACAAAGGGACATAGCTCTCGTTAAAAACAGCCGGGTGGATATCTTCTTCCAGCTATGGTCAGCAGGGTCGTCTACAGGACGTGACTGAGGGTCCCTGGGGCAACTTAGCTGCTGCCTCCACCACAGCCCTCAGCCAAAATCCCTTGCCAGCACTAATACAGAATAGTTGACTGGGCGTTTGTCTTTTTTCTTTTTCTTTTCTTTCTTCTTTCCTTCCTTCCTTCTTCCCTCCCTCTCCCATTCCCTCCCTCCTTTCCTTCCTTTCTTCCTTCTCTTTCTCTCTCCTTCCTTCTCTCCCTCTCTCTTCCTCTCTCTTTCTTTTGTTACTCTTTCAACGTCAGTTGCAGAAGGTTGACTTCATCCACCGCCCCCGTTCACAGTGCGTGGTCGTTGCTGGTCTGTGCGCAGCCCTCGGCTTGTTGTTTGAGGGGCTCTCCTGTCCGCCCCACCCAGAGGCCCGCTGGCCCTGCATCCACAGAGCACCATTTTGACTGCCTGTGCTCAGACACACTGGTCTGCACGTTCCGTCTGCATGCCGTCTCAATTTACATAAACAGCGCTGTGTGGTAGCTCACATCCTTTCTCTTACTTTTTCTGTTCGGGTCAGTGTTTCTAAGATCCATCTGTGTTGCTGTGTCCATTTGGTTCTAGCTGCTGCTCAGTTTCCATGGGGCATGTCTTACCCCCCCTACCCTGCCCCTACCAACCCCTCTGAGATGGACATCCTGGTCTATGCCCCTGGCGGGGTGGCTCAGAACCCCACTGGGGTATGTCCAGAAGTGGAATGCTGCACACAGGGCAGGCACATGGATCATTTGCCCGTCGTCTCTACGGAATGGCCACACCAGTCTGCATGCCCACGAGGAGGCTGGCGCAGTCCTGTATCTCCCATCCCCACCAATGCAGGCCTCCCTTTTGCAAATGTGATGTGTGCAATTATGACTAAAGGCATGCTCATACCAGCTCACATTTACTGAGAGCTTACTGTGTGCCAGACATGGCATCATCTCATTTAATTGCACAACACCCCTAGGAGGCAGGCACTTTCATATCCTCATTTTAGAGTCGAGGAAATTAAGGTTGGAAAGGTTAAGGGCTTATCTAGAGCTTCCAACCCATCTCTCCCCATACTCCCAGGTTCCCAAGCCAGAGAAAATGAGGGCCTGGGAGGAGAAATGAGTTGCCCAAGGCCATTGGGTGAGCCGATCCCACAGCTGGGACAGCATCCAGTGGCTGCCTGCTTGCTGCCCCGGGCCATTTCCCTGTCTCTCCGAGAACATCTGGGAAGGGGGGAGGGCAGATTGCAAAGCCAAGAGGGGGGCAGTGCTTGACCCAGAGCAGTGGGGCACTGAAGCGGGGCTGCAGGCACTGTGGCAGGCTCCTAGCTGCCCCCAGTGACCCCCCCAAAAGCAGTCACCAGCACCCCACACCCTCTTCCAGCTCCAAGGTAAAGAGAAGTCACCCACTCCCCGAGCAAACCACTTTATTCATGCAAATAACTATATCCTTCCTCCTCTTTCAAGGGAGAAGATTCTAGCAGCTCTGGGAATTACCTTGTGTGTGTGGGAATTAGCCTGATACTTTTCATGCGTTTTCTCAGCAGCACGGGCATTATTAGCCCCAGTTTACAGATGAGGCTGCAGAGACTCAAAGTGTGTGTGTGTTGGGGCGGGGAGGGGTTGTTGCCCAAGGTCACACAGGATGGGGACCAAGAACCTGGGAGGGTGGAGGGTGGGTCCCCGGAGCCCCTGGAAGCAAGTCAGCTCACCTTCTCTTGAGGACCAAACAGTGGCTAGAGGACACATCACAGCCTGGAGAGAAAGCACTTTGCACCTGAGACCATCTGGCTGTTGGGGGTCAGGTGGGAGGCAGTGACTGCTCCAAGGAAGGAGGTCAGCCCCCCGGTCAGCTCCATCAAGGGGCTACATCAGGAGACAGAGGCCAGACCCCCACATAGGCTGCCAGGCCTCCTTCAAATCCTCCACCCCTCAGAAAACCCAGTACACCAATATCCCAATATAATATGGATGCCAGTATTCCAGCATCCAGACAGTAGCCCCAGCTGCCTTCCCCGAGAGAGGACCAAACAGTTCCATGGGTAGCTTTTCCCCATCTGGGACTCGAAGGACAAAACCAGTTTGGGCTGGGGGTCTGTGAAAGAGAGCCTGAAGCCAAGGCTCTCAGTTCATCCCTGGGATGGACCCCTGGGCACGGGGATGCGAAGAGAGGCCCCCGGCACCTGCGCAGGCTGTGCAGGGTGCTATGCAATGTGGCCTCACCACAGGCACTGGGAGGTCAGGGTCTCAGTTTCCCCACGTGTAAAGTGGGGTCCCCTTACCCTCTCCAGGGTGGTGATCAGGGTGAGGTAAAATCACGCGCATTGATGCAGCCGGCCCAGAGGGGTTCGGTGCTGGCGTCAGCAACATGGGCTGAGCACCTCCCGGGCCAGGCCCTGTGCTCCCTGCTGGGGATACAGGGGTGACAAGGCCGCCACAACGCCCGCCCTCACCGAGCTCAGGCCCACGGAGAAGACAGACGGAATCGGAGCACCTGTGGCTCCGTGCAGCAGGCGCTGCAACAGGGAAGACCCGCCACACAGGGTCGGGAGAGCGCCCCCCAGTGCAAGCCGACAGGGACGACGGGAAAGTGTTGGCCAGCTGCCTTGGTGCGGAGCACTGTGCAGAGGGAAGAGGGTGTGCAAAGGCAGGGCAGGAGAGAGGACACTGTCTGAGGAACGGAAACATGTCCGCAGCCGAGAGGTCACGGGAAAGGTGGAGGTGGGACTCCGTGCAATGCGCTGGGGCTCCATGCAGGCATGCGACACGCTGTCCCCAGGCCCGTTCCAGGAGGGACTTCCCACCCTCCCACAGGTGAGGTGGTCAGCAGGGGCCTCCAGCCACCACCGCTCCTCTGCCCACCCACCCAGGCCACATGGCCCGGGAAGCCCGCACCCAGGGCCGGCGCGAGGACGTAGGAGAGCCTCTGTCTGCTTGGCTCCTGCCTCTGTCAAAACCCACTTCTTCCCCCTCCTTTTCACAGGTGTCGACCCTGATGACCACCTTGCCCCCCAAATCCGTCTCAGCACCTACCTCCAGACAAGCCAACCCGAGACATTTGGCATGGGGCATGACCCAAGAAGGCAGGGAGGTAGGTTATTCGGCACTGGGCCCCACGGCCGGCACTGAGGCCCCCCAGAGGGTAGCAGGAGCACAGTGGTACAGGTGTGACAGCCATCACCAGGAAGAGCCCAGGGGGTGGGGGGGAGGGAAGCTCCGACAGGTGTCACCAAGCACGCGGTGGAGACACGTGGAGGACACAGGAGACATGAGGGTATCGGGAATGGTGGCTGTTGCTAAGCACCGCGGTGCTCTCCGGAAAGGTGACAACAGCTGCTGGTGAGTAACAGCGATGGAACGCCCGTGTGAAACCCAGAAGGCCTCCCTGAGGCTCTCACCTCCCACAAGCAGGACAGAGAAGGCCGCAGACCCGGCCCAGGACCCAGTAGACTGAGCGGCCAAAGTTCATGGAAGAGTAAACGCCCGACTGAGGGGGGCCGTTCTCCCAAAGCTAGGACAACAGGGACCCTGAAGGCTCTCCCTCCCCAGTGACTCTGAACCCCCCCCGAGCCTGTGGAGATAGACCCCCCCCTTCCAACAAGAGCTTACAGCTGTGACACTGCAAAGGGAAACAACGCAGAGGGCTGCCCCGCTCAGGGCAACTCATGCCCCCTTGGGATCTGCCCACCCTCCCCGCTGGCCGGTAGGCTTCTGGCTAGGATTCAGGACACGTTGGACCAGATAAGGGACCACAAAGCCACGGGGTCCTCAGACCCACCCAGAATTGATTTCTTTGTTCCCAAATGGATAGTTGGAATTGGTATACTTAGCAACTGGTGCACACCCCACACTGGGGCCTTGGTGCATAGGGTAAGAGCTATGGGAGTGGGGAAGGCCGATCAAAGCCTTTGAAACTAACCCCTCCTTGGCCAACATAATAAATCAGAAACAATATCCCTTCCCAGGAGAGGGGATGACAGAGATTAGTGCCACCTTTAAGGAGATGGAGGATGCAGGTGTTGGTCCGCATCAAGTCTCTGGTTAATTCTTCAACTGGCCTGTGCAGAAACCTAAAGGATCCTGGGGAAGACAGAAACGACCACATGCCCGGATGGCATGGCTGTGCCAGGGGTGGTGTCTTTGCTAGAGCAGATTAACATGGCCTCAGGTACGTGGTATGCAGCCACTGACTTGACACATGTGTTCTTTTCTATCCCAGGCAAAAAGGGGAGTCGGAAATAGTGTCCATTCGTGCGGAATGAACAACACACGCCTAGTTCCCCCGGGGCCGTGCTAACTCGCCTGTCCTGACATTATACAGACCCAAGAGTCTGGACTACCTTGTCCCAGAAAATCATAGTGATCAATTTCATCAATGGCACCATGTTGATTGAGCCAGATAAGTGAAAGGGAATCGGACCACTACAGGCCTCGGGAAGATCCGGCTGCTCCAGAGGGGGGAGGTAAATCCCGTGACATCTCAGGGCCTGCCGTAGCCTTAGCCTTTTTAGGATGCAGCGGTCAGGGGCATGCAGGGCCATCCGCCCAAGGTAAAAGACAAGTTGTTGCCCCTCGCCCCTCATCCGTGGAGAAGGTAGCACAGTGTCTGATGGTTCTGGTTCTAGAGGCACAGACTCCACCCTGAGCGGGGACAGCCCACATCCTGGACTCAGCAAAAGGCTGCCAGCTGTGAGCAGGGGCCAGACCAGGAACAGGCTGTGCTGTACCTCCCAGCCGGGCAGCCTCCTGGCCCATAGGATCCAGCAGCCTCACCGGGGTGGAGGTATCGGTGGCAGGAAAAGATGTCATTGGAGTTTGCCGCTTGCTGAGCTGGACATTCACAACACAGGGCCCTGGACTTCTAGAGCAAGGCCATGCCACCTGCAACAGAGAATCACACTTTTTGAAAAACAACTCCTGGAATGCCCTTTGGTCCTACTAGAGACAGGACGCCTGACCATGTTATACCGAGTGGCCGTTACACCATGTCACACCACGCACCATCAGCCCCTTATCCTGAGTTCTATCAGACCCAACAAGTCCAGATTTAATGGGCCAAGTGGCAATTCAGCGTCATATGGAAATGGTGTATCCAGGATCAGACACCGAGGAACAGAGGGCGCGAACTGTAGGAGCGGGTTCCCACCTCCCCATGGCACCCAGCAGTGTCATCTCAGCACCCCTCCCTCTGCCCAGGCCCATGCCCACGTGGAGAAGGAAATGCCTGAATGGAGTTTACGAATGGGTCAGCTCAACATGTGAATGCAAGCCAGAAATAGATGACAGCTGCACCACCCCCCCGCGCCAGGCGGCCTCGCAATCAGCAGAGCTACAGGCGGTCACCTACTTTGCGTGGGAAGAGAAGCAGCCAGAGGTTGGAACACAGATGGACTCAGGAGTGGTGATGAGCGGCCTGGACAGTTGGTTAGGATCCTGAAGGAAAAAAAATTGGTAAATGAGGGGCAAGGAATTCTGAGGCAGAGACATCATGTACATGTGGGAGCAGGAACAAAGGATGACGCCAGCAAACAGCCACCCTAAGAGAGGCCCTAAATCACCAACGAGACCCATACCACTAGAAGCTGCTGGCCCGACAGTGTTGGAACTGTCTGCTAAGGGCGCCTCTGTAGCTCCAGCTCGGGGCCAGGCCTCTGGAAGGATGGGGACGTCCTGCAGGATGCAGCATATACACGGTATCCGCCTTTATGTGCCTCTGTGTCTCCAGCAGGTAAACAAATGCAGGGGTCCAGGAGCCAAGGGACAGAAGCAGGGGACCCCCAGCGATCCACCAGGACTTTGCACTTCCCGTTCCCCCACCGTGGGGCTCCACGCGGCTAGAGACCCTCACTCCCCAAAAGGACACCCTTTCACCAGGGGACACACAAAGGGTCCCAATGAGTTATATTGCTGCCCCCTGGGCAGTTGGGCATCTCAGGTTTATGAGCCTCCAGGTAAGAAGAATGACCTGTGAGGCAGGAGCGACCCACTGATCACAGGAAGAAGTAGGCCCCCGGGTCACAATGGGGGTAGGAAAGAACACGTGTGTGACCAGGTGCCGCTTGGTGCCTCCTTGGCCAATTGTGACATAGAGGAATAAGTATAACAATGCTGGCCTGCGAAAGGCTTGTTGACGGGGGCTCAGGCCCCCGGGAAGGAGGGTCTGAGTCTCGCCTCCAGGGGCGCCGCTGAAGCAGCAGAGTTGACAGCGGAGGGTGAGGGGAATAGAGAATGCATAACCCAAGAGGGACAGGACGAGTGGCAGTCATGGCCCTGAGACCAACTGTGGTATCCAGGAGCTTCCTCCTCAGAGCTCCCCTTAGGAAGAGAGAGCCAGAATTCTGCAGGAGCTGCTCCCCAAGTGCATATGGAGGAGTGGGTCTGAGTGGCAGACCCCAGCAGGCCTGGAGATGTGTCGCCCAGTGTCCCTTCCAGGAAGGCCTGGCCACCCAGGTGCAGAAGGGTGGCCGTCAGATGGTCCCCCATGGGCAGCCCCCAGTGGCCCCACCTCAGCTTCTGCGAGCACTCTGCCGCAGTCAGCCCTTCCAGGGTGGTGAACCAGAGCGGGGCGCGTTTTCAGGGCCCAGACATGTGGCCCAGTAAGGGGCACTCTAATGGGCTCTGTCCCACCTGTGTCACAGCTCGGCCTCTCCCTCTGCTCAGTCCTGTTCCCGCCCTCTGCCTTTCTCAGCTGTCCATCCCCCATAAACACTTCACACCCCAAGTTCTGTTTCAGTGTCAGCTTCCAGACAACCCAGCCCACAAGGCCTCAAATTCGGGCTCTACCTAATGATTTTAAGCAAGGGGAGGGGGGTGGCATGATGGGGTCTGTGGTTTAGAAAACTCACTCTGGCCCCAGTGAGAAGATGAGCAAGAGGCAGCCGGAGGAGACTCACAGGAGGGGTGGTCGCCTGGCCAGGTGGGAGGATGGAGAGCAGACACACATGAGGTAGAGCGGGGATCGAATCAGGGGCCAAGGTGACAGACAGGACGTGGAAGGAGAGGGAGCAGGTGAGTCGGGTTTGTAAGCCAGCGTGTGCGGGAGAGAGGGCCCTTGACTGAGGTGGGAACACAGAGGGCTGGGCAGGCGGGGCAGGAGACGAGCCCAGTGGGGGAGGAACAAGGTTTGAAGTTTTGTGGGTCATCCAGGCGGAGACGGCCCTGGGCAGCTGCCCCTGCGAGCCCCGAGCTCAGCGCTCTGGCTGGTCAGCGAGGTCAGAATGACGGAGGGAGGGATATGAGAGCCGTGATGCGGCCAGGCTCTCCCTGCCAGGGTCTCCCTCCCCAGGACATGTGTGGAGGGAGAAGGGAAGGAGGCACAAGACAGCCCTGAGGGACTCCACTGTCGCAGCCCGAATCAGGGAAGAATGCCGTTTCCTGCCAGGCCCCAAGAGGTGGGCATAAACTGCAGGCCACACCCAGACTGGCTTAACCCTCCACCACTTGTTTACAGAGCACCCGCTGTGCCCCAGCACCCCAGCCATGGTCATGGAGAAGGCCTCTGAAGAGCCACAACTGGCCGCATCGTGGCTCACATCTTTGCACGGTGGGGCCCTCAAAGGTCTCCGAGAGGAAGCAGCTCACGTCCTATTTCTGGGGGCATGCCTGCTGTGTTGGGATCCAAGAACAAAACGCGGGGGAGCCAAGGAGGGAAGAAGCTGAAGAGGGGGCTCAGAGCCGGCTCTCTGACCCCCCGCCATGGCCCCCCAACCCCAAGATGCCTCTCCAGCGAGGACGTTCTCGCTTACTTCCTGCTCCCAGAAGCCTGCCTGGCCTCCCCCTGGGGGCCTGGCTCTCCCACATGGGAACTGAAAGCAGCTGGCACCGGCCCCACCTCCATGGGTTTCAAGTCCGAGGCGAGAGCTGAGGCCCCTGGAGCCGCAGATGCCCGCACGCCCTGAACACAGCCTTTTCTCCTCCATGAAGCCACAGCTGCGGGGTCGTCGGCGCTCGTGGACACTCGAAGAGCTTTCCAAAGCAGAGGAGGAACAGCACCCACCCTGCCCCATGTCCATAAAACAAGACGCCTACAGTAGGGGAAATTCACAAACACCAGGACATCCCAGCCTTTCCAGAAAGTTGGGTTGCCCTCATTCAGGGGTTCCAGAGGCCCAAGGAGTGGGAAATCTCACCCACTAGCTGGTGCCCAGACAGAATCAGAAGCCAAGGGCATCCTGGGGGAGGCTGGGGGAAGACGTTGTCTGGAGGCCTGGCTGGGGGAGCCCATCAGTCAGCACCCTAGTGAGAGGCCAGTCTTGGGTGAGGAGCAGGAAAGGAGAGAGGAATGCTGTTGCTCCTTTCCCACTGCTGTGTGTGCGGCCCCTGCGCGCCCTCCCGGAGCCCACTCTCTGTGGGGCGGAGACAGTCAAGACTCAGCCCCCTGGTCAGGTGCCTTTCTGTGGCAAATCCCTGGTCCCATCTCTAACAGCTGCAGACACCTACAATGGGGCAGCTCTGACTGGGAGTACAGAGCCTGAGTGTGGCTTTACTAAATCCACACTTTCTTCTGCCAACATCAGTGCAGCACGCACCGGCCAGCCTCTTCTGCCCAGGACCTTCCTTTCCTATAATCATCAGAAGAACCCAAGAAGGGGATGAAATTTTCCCCATCGTGCGGATAAGCAGATGAGGCTCACCTAATGTGTTCCCAAAAACTTATGATGTCAGAAATGGCGGAATAAGAATAAATATGTCAATAAAGAAATAAGGGCAGAAAGTCAGCAAGAATATGATTCCTAAAACTAGGCTCCCGTGTTGGCACTGAGCTCCCTAGCAGCCAAAGCAAAAACAGATATGCAGTCTATTTTAAGATTTACAGTCCACGGAATGGAGCCTTGTCAGGGTCTCAGGAGAAGCCAGAGGCTGTAACTTGCCTGTGGTCCCCCAGCCAAGGAATGCAGGGCTGGAATGGAGATCTCCATCGAGGAGCCCCAGGCACGTGTCAGCTGCTTTGTTAAAAGCCTCTACACTGTGTAAGGCTTTGCATCAGCACAAGCAAGTCCCATAAAAACCTCCTACTCCTACACGGCCCCAGGCTACCCTCCCATCACCGGGAGAGCAGCATCCCAGCTGTTGGCTGCAGACCACGTGTGTGGACATTTCCAGGTGGGGTCAGAAAAAGGAAAAGGTTGTGCTGGGGATTCCATGCCAAGACTCAGGGTTCCTTGGCAGCCACTTGACTCTGTGGGGCAGCCGGGGGAATGAGGCGGCTTAGCTCAAGCCTATTGCTGTCTACCCTGCTTTGGGGACTTTGCCGCAGGAAATGACCCCCTAAAGTGAGGGGAAAAAAATCACTGGCCACAAAATGAGAGAGCAGTATGGCTCACCTCAGAAGAATCAGAAAATTCTCACAGCCCAGCCCTGCAGGTGCCAAGGAAACCCTGGATTTGCAGCTGGAGCGGGGCTCTCAGATGTGGCTCACACGTGCCATGTGAGGTGGGAGGATGTGTGCTCAAGAAGGTCAAGGGAAAAGAGCAACACAGCAGTGGGGGCACAACGGTACAGCCCCCGAGCCCTGGGAGTAAACTGTCTCCTCCCCAGCTGATCCCAGTCCAAACTGAACTTATCGCCCCACCCTCATGACCCCAATCCGCTCCTCTTCCCACAGAGACTTCCATTCTCATTTCCCCCAGGATAATAGAACCCCTGATTTTTGCTGGGCACATGGCCACTCAGAATAAAAACTACATTTCCCAGTCTTCCTTGCAGCCAAGTGTGGTCATGTGACTAATTCTGGCCAGTGGGATGTGAGCAAAAGTGCACTCCATGTTCCACTTCCAGGTCATGCTCTTAAAGGGGCGGTGTGGGTCTGTCCGTTTCCTGTCCTCTTCCCATCACCCTCAGGAACACAGACATGGTGGGAGCCACCTTGGACCATGCAGGTGAGGGCAAGATGCCAGGGGTGGCGAGGGCCGTGACAGCTTCACAGAGCACAGCTGGCCCCGTAACCTGGACCTCTATGGGAGAGAAATAAATGTCTGCCTTGTTGAAGCTGCTGGTATTTTGAGTTTGTCACAGGCAACCCAACCTATGTCCCAACTCAGACACCATCTCAGCAGATGGCCACTCTGTCCTCTCATCTCCTAGGTCAGAAACCTGGGAGGTCTCAACAGGCAAGCCCCATCCACTAAAAGAACCACAGCTGCCAGTCCCCGGGTGTTTGTCACACACACTGAGCCTCTCCCCTCTATGTTTCCATGGACTTCTTATGACAACCCAAGAAGAAGGCATCAAAACTCCAGATTTACAGTTGAAAAAGGCTGAGACTCAGAGAGGCTGAGCAACTTGCCAAGATCACACAGCTAGTGACCGACACAGCCACCATTCAAAGATCACCAGACTCGAAAATCCATTCTCCTAGTGTCTCCCCTTCCGCATCTCCCTCAAGGCCACATCTTCCTCTCCATTGCCCCAGCCGCTGCCCTGGCCTGGCCACCATCAGCCCTTACCATCCCAGCAAGGCAGCCTCTGCTCCTCAGGCAAAGTGACCTCCCAAAGGCAATCTGAGGCATCACCGTCCTGCTTAAGCCTGCCATGGCTCCCCACTGCCTCAGCATAAAGGCAGCCTCCTCGCCAGGCTATTTAAGGTCCCTGGAGTCAGGCCCAGGCCCGCCCACCCCGCAGCCACCCTGACCCATACGGACTGCCCCACCCCTGCTCTTCCCACTATGGGCCTAGCTCTGTGCTGGGCCTCCAGCTAGACACCAAGAGCCCAGTCAGGGAGGGGCTGTCACACCCATTTCACAGGTGAGGAGCCTGAGGCTCTGGTGGCTGGTGACTCACCCAGGGACCCATAGTCAGGAATCCCTGGAGCTGGGACTCCAGCCCAGTTGTCCATCTTACAAGTCTACTCACTTCCCATGTCATCTAATTTCACTATCAAGAGAGGCCCCGAGCCTACGCAGAACCCCTCCTCAGAGGCTGGGGCCTCACTATGTGGTGGGTGGGGAAGGTGGGAGTAATTTGGTACCATTACACAGGATAGACGGCTCAGAGACATGAGGCGACCTTTCAAGGATGCACAGCTGGGGAGCACCCAAGAGAGTGGAAGTGCAGAGCCCAGACGCCCCTGGCTGGGCCCCCTCTTTCACCTCGCGTTCCTGGAGTCATTTGACGGTGGTCTGACCCCAGCACATTGGAGGTATGCACATGGAAAGTGCCAGGCTGCCCCTTCCTCCTGAGCAAATTTAGGTGACTCCCATGAGCTCTCTGAGGTTCTGTTTCCCCACCTGTCACAGGGACAGTAGCCCTGCACATGACTGCCCTGTGGGTCAGAAGAGATGGAGGGGGCCTGGGCAGGTGCCTAAGGAGGTCCTGCCTGGCGGCTCTCATGCACCCCTGGCCTCCTTCCAGTCAGGGCACCGTGTGTGCAAAGGCCCTGCGGGCACAGCCTGGGAGGGTGGTGCACAGGGAGAGCCAGGCCTGGCAGCCTGCCCACTGGCATTCAGCTCTCCCTATGGGACCCTCTAACCCCAAAAACACCCCACTACTGGGCCGAGGGCTCCTGCACAAACTTGCAGTCTGCCCCACGGCATCATGTTCAAACAATGGACTTGTGCGCCCTCCACCCCTCCTGGCCTGGCGCTGGGCACCCTCACCCCATGTGAGTGTCCTGGAAGTGAGGGGTGGCAGGAGCGGCAGAGAGGCCCAGAGGCAGGAGAGCCTGGGCTACAGGCCTCTGGGAGCCAGGCCCGGAGCAGACTCTGCCTGGGGAGGGGCTGTCAGAGGAGGGCACAGACCCCACCACCTGCCAGCTGCTCCCCGCAGCTCAGAGGCCTCAGAGGCCCTTGCCCCTCTGGGCCTCAGTTTCCCTAGCTGTGACATGGGAACCATGGGCCCTGCCCTGCCCATGGACGACCGGGGTTTGGGAGTGCCCTGTGGCCTGGGCACCCACCTGCCAAGGTGGCCCCACACCAACTCTGGTCCAGCTCCACCCCCCACCCACCCTAGCTGAGCATCTTAGAGGGAAGGACCGAGAACAGGAAGCAGGAGCAGCAGCAGCCCCCTTGTTCCCAGGCCCTGGGAGACAACAGGGAAGAGGCCACAGCGGGGTACAGGAGCAGCAGTGCAGTTGTTCCAGGAGAGCACAGGAAAGGGCGTCTGGGGGTCCTTGAAAGATGCTTCAGAACTGTGCTGCTTCCCTGAGGGGAGGAAGACAGGGCGTGCTGCTGTCACCACAGTGTGACCCACTGACACCTGCCTGCTGGGAGGCGCCCAGGGTGGCAGCCTGCCTCTGCCACCTATCTGCTGGATGTGCTCTGAGGTGACGCTTCCTCCCCTGCACGCAGGCCATCACTCTAGGGCAGGACACAGTCTGTGCACCCCCGCGAGGGAGGGCAGCACCAGGAGCTCGATCCCAGGCCCAGAGCAGGAGCTGGGGGCCCAGACCCAGGGCCTGGAAGGGAAGGAGGGAAGGAGGCAGGGAGGGAGCAAGCGACTCTTACTACCATTTCACAGATGAGGACAGCGGGGCCCTGAGGGGTAGTGACCAGCAGGGGCGCCCCAGGACCAAGTGACCAGGGCTCTTCGAGCACTGTGCACCCACCTGCAGCCTTCTAGCTGAACTGAATTGACAGTGGCCCTGGAAGGGAACAGAGGCCATCTGCGAGTGGCCAGCGCCTCTGAGGCCCCCACACGCAAGGCCCTCCTCTCCTGCTGCCTCTGTCCAGCCTTCGGGCTGACCGCTCCACAGCGCGTCCCGCAGCCCGGTCTGCCGTCTTACATGTGTGGATTGAGCACTGGTGTCTGACCTCATGGCAGGGCCCACTGGGCAGAGAGATCAGGAGGAGGGGGAGGAGGAGGGGGAGAGAGGGGAGAAAGAGAGAAGAGGAGGGGCAGAGAGGACAAGGGTCGGGGCAGAGAGAGGAGGAAGGAAGATGATAGGAGGAAGGAGAAGGGGGAGGGGAGGGGAGAGGGGAGGGGTGGGAGGAGGGGAGCCCATCCCTGAGGGCCCTTGGAGCCCGTCCAGAGGGCCAGGCCCAGAGCAGGCCCCCACTCCCACAGACCTGTCCCTAGGAGGTGCCCAAGACTCTTTGAACTTTGTCCCCCCTGCATACCTTACCCAGAGGACGGGGCTCGGCAGGTGCCGACTGCCTTTCACCCTCTCCGCAAAGGCCCTGCCTCTCTGCCTTCTCTTCACCCAGAGAGGCAGGGAGGCTCCCTATGAACCAGGGCAGGTGTGCCTGGGCCCGAGGAGCGTCCCCTGCCACATCCCAGCCCCCCACCCCAGGGAGAGGTCGCAGGCCACGCCTGTGATAGGGAAGCTCCTACCCAGGGACTGTGCATCCTCGGGGCCGCGCCCCTGGGAAGGCGAAGGGGCAGAAACCTGCGCTCTGGGAGCTCACCTTCCGGGGCCACCGCCTGAGGTCAGCCGGGCCATCCATCCAACCATCCACCCATCCATCCATGCGCTGAAGCAATAAATAGTCTCTAAGCATCTGCTCTTGCCAGACCCTCCTGCCTCCAGCAGCTTCAGGGCACCTGGGACTCACAGAGAAGTAAGAAGATGGTCCTTCACTGACACGTGAGCACATGATAACACAGGGCAATGTCTGCTGTAAGACAGCTGTGTGTCCAGTGTGGGGGAATCTCAGCGGAAGAATGAAAAATACCACATAGGAGCCAGGAAGGCTTCCCAGTGAGGGAGAAACTGAGCTGGGCTTTGAAGGATGTGTAGGAGTTCACCCAGCAGGCAGAATGGGACTTGATGTTTGAAGTGGGAAGATATGAGGAAAAATAAGAAAGGGCATGTTTGATAGGACTGGAGGAATCAGACTGGGCACAGGGGGAGGCTGAGGGCAGGACAGGTCTTCAGACCCCGGGCCCAGGCAGGGGAGGGCCTTTATCCTGATCCTGGGCTGTCTCTGAAGTACAGGTTTCCACTGAGGAGCCTTAGGGAGAGTGGCCTGTGGAAAGGGCAATGTAAGAAGCTCTTCTCCCTCCCAGCCCACCAGAAAGCCCATATCTGACCTGTGCTAGCGCTTCCAGCCAGCTTCTTCTGGGGAAAATAGGGGGAGGAGGAATGCCATGAAGAAGGAAGTTTGAGACTCTTGGGTCGGGGAGGCGGAGGATGTCGGGGGTGAGGGCAGTGCTGCAATCTCCAGGAGGCCTCCAGCCCCGGCTCTGAGACCCAAGTTCCTGGGACCAGCCCAGGGAAGCCACGAACCACAAGTTCCAGGTGTGGGGCCCAGCTGGCCACCCCGCCCGATCTAGGGGTGTAAGGAAGGCCTTCCCACCTCCTGGACATTTCCTCTGCAGAGCCCTCTCCACTCACTCCTCCAGCGGCAAAGATCTCCTACCTCTGGGGCCGCACACGGCCTTTTCACTCCCTCTTCACAGATAGATAATCTTTCCTTTAGCTGAGCTAGCTCAGCTCCGTAACTCTCCCACCTTCCCCAGGCCCTGGCTCTGTCTACAGGGGCCACAGGGAACAAGTCTGATCAGCTTATTCCGGAAGGTTTAGGTACCTCCAGCTTTCCCAATCTCCCTTTTCGACTTCTATCAGAAATTCTCCCAATGGCGTGGCCTCCAGTATCATGTTTAAAATCATCACAGTGAAGTTCTCTCTGTAGCTCTTATTTTAATCAAAAAACATAAAACCGAATTTCTCAGTCAAAACATACATTCAGTGGAGAAGGTTTGAGACCCCATAACCTTATGATTATACTGCTTAAACTCACTGTAGGATCTGTGTCTGAGAATTCAAGATTCTCCCCTCCAGGGAGCTTTTTTTTTTTTTTTTTTTTTTGCAGAGGAAGACTAGTCCTGAGCTCACATCTGTGCCAATCTTCCTCTACTTTATATGTGTCAGACGCCACAGCACGTCTGACAAGTGATGTAGGTCCACGCCCAGGATCTGAACCAGCAAACCCAGCCTGCTGAAGCAGAGTGCGTCAGGCTTAACCACTATGCTCCAGGGCCGGCCCAACTTCCAGTGGTCTTTTTAAGTTAAAATTTTAATTTGCTTTATTCCACCAA